TAATAAATTCAATTAAATTGTCTCAAAATACTAAATTAAAAAGAATAAATATTATAGAACAAAAATAAATTGCATTGGTTTTACTGGGATGGAGAAAGTTTAATTTTTAGGTGTCCGGTCACTTTTGACCGGGAAGATAACAAGTGTGACTCCAAAACAAAGAGCACCTGAGGGTTAAAGTGACAGGACTAATCTGTGTTTCACATGGGCACAATCAATCTGCAGGAGGCAGAATTCTTGCTGGTTGTAGGGGATCAAATACTTATTTCACTTGATCAAATGCTAATAAATTTATAACGGTTTAATAAGAAGATATTTTATGAAGACAGTTCACTTCGCGTATACAGACAGGAGCCATCTTAAAAAATAGTCTCGATAAGTCGATCCCCGAACGCCGCTCATACAGTTCAGAAGTTCGCTGAACTTCATCCACAAGTTTCCTACGCCCCATGAGGCCTTGCGTCAAAAGTGGGCGCGACTTCCGTTTTGAAGTAAACAAAGCACGATTTGACATGCTTGACACTCGTTCATTCAATAGTTGACAGTCATTCAAGTTATAGCGATCCAAACTAGCTAACGATGTGGGAACACAACCTCAACGAAATTCAAAAGGGTGAAATAACAGTACCTTAACCCTCCGCAGTAGTTGATTGGCAGTATTATAATAACATTATTAATAATCAATACTCATCAAGGCATGGTGACAGACAGTTGTGCGAGCTGACAAACAATTAAAATAAAAAATACACACTTAGTCATTGTGCTTTGGAGTTTATTCAAAATTATAAATGAATGTGCTACTTGAATACATTAACTGGCACATTTGGTATTCTGTCAACACAGGCTTTGATCCTGAGTTTAGGTGTAACATCAGTAGAGAACATCCAAACATATGCTGATAAAATTTGATAGAATATTAAGAATTTAAACAAATGTACACAGGAAGATTCGTCGTCTTTTGGGAGGTGATGGAAACTACAGTCGTTGGCAGGATCAGAGACGGGCTCTGGCAGGATCACTCTGATTTCGTTTTCAGCTTATGTTCAAAACAATCACGTTTAAGCCACTGAATTAGTTTAGTCCGGTTATACATACAACCGCGAACAGCACATGTTGTCCATGAGCTCCGTAACGACATCTCTCATAAAGATTTGCGTCTTTAAATAGTAAAATAATTCTCCAAAAAACAGCTAGCCTCTTCGCTAACTAACACACAAAATACCATTGGAATGCTACTTCCGCCGCGACACCGGAAGTTTCACCCACTTTATTTTTTACAGGAGCGCCCCTCGGAAACTTGTGGATAGAGTTCAGATCACTCAGCACGGCGTTCGGGGATCGGCTTATCGAGACTATTTTTTAAGATGGCGCCTGTCTGTATACATGAAGTGAACTGTCTTCATAAAGTATCTTCTTATTAAACGGTCTGTACACTTACAAAGTTCTTAACGCTTCGTTTTGCATGTATGGAGCCTCATTATGTTACTGTGTTAGTGTGGGGCTATTTTGAGCCTTGTTAGTGGTATAAACTAGCGGTTTCTTTTTACTTAGTCAATGCCCCCATTACTAGCATTATACGCTAAACAGTTTTTAGAGATTAAACTCTTTACATTCGATTATCATGAAAACAAATCTCAGAGAACGGTTGACTGTGTACCGATGTTTTATTAGACCAAAGGTTCATTGTTCGCCGGAGTTCTCCTTTAAGTTAAACCTACCATGAAAATTATAGACCCTTCATTTAAGTGGGCAAATTTACAAAACCATCAGTGGATCAAATGATTATTTTCTCCACTGTGGATGGATAGATTGATAGATGGATGAATAAATGGATGGGTGGATGGATATATATAGATACCAAAACTGATGCACACGCTTGACGTTTTCTTCCAGTCTAAGTGGGCAGTCCTTGGCTAGAATAATCAGGCCTAGACCATATGCTGATTCTCACATGTTTGGCTCAGTCAATCTACTCAGCACCTGGCTCAAATAACAAAATCACAGGCTCAAATGCACATTCTCATTAATGTTTCATACTGTTTCTGAGACATTTGCTTGTGCATAATTTAACACATTTCTTTGGAAATATTGTTTGCAGCTAATGCTTGAGCTTGGCAGATGGAGCTTATATCCTCATGGCCCTCTTTAACCAGTTTTTCTCTCTCATGTTTTTACACTAAACCTCACAAGGGTCACAAGGGACGCCATCATCATTACGGGATGTGCCGATCCTATTCAGATGTTGGCGAATTTGACTGGAAAAAACAGATGAACTTTACTCATAAAGCAGATTACCATGATTTGCTGTGAAAAAAGATTACTGGCAGGAACTGTGTTAATAGCTTAGGAATGCCGAGCAAATTATTACAGTGGAGAAATAAGGCTGGAGAACAGGAGACACTCATTGCAGCTAAAATGCAGCTTGAAGACTGTTTTAAAAGGCATTATTAGACCTTTTCCCATATGTGCAGTTAATGGTTAGAGCCTAATGGATGCTTTAGGTCTTAAAGTGGAGCTGGAGTTTGGAGATGGTGTCAGATATAATAGAGATTAGCGGCCGATGTGGACGTAGGGCAGCCACTGCACAAACACAGCGCCACTAGTTCATTAAAAGTATTAAATATGTCTATTTCTGTTGGTTCACATTAAAAGCACATTTCATATGGGCTATATATTACACTATGGTTTTAGCATGTGATTTTTTTTTGCCTGTGGACAGAAATATTCTCCCAAAACAAGTGAAAAGAACGAACCTCACACACTTCCAGAGACTGACATTTTCATGTATATACAGAAAAGAAAATGCAATTTTTATTTTTAATCATATCTTTTCATCGATTTTGACATCTAGGAGATGAGCTGTATTATATATCTGGAGATGAATTCTTATAAACAAGATCAAGTCAAATGGGCTCTGGCGCTGTCGCTTACCTTAGTGTGGTCAGCCATGCTGTGGTAATCGAGTCCAGCTTTGGATCGGAACTGTTTCTGACACTGCTGACATTTGAGGGCGTCCCGCAGCTACAAGAAAAGACACCACAGTTTATAATGTCAGCATCAAATATCATGAAATCATGGGTTCTAAATGTGACATATATATATTTCACATACCAATTATACATGACTTGTGAACTGCGAAAGTCATTTGTAGGTTTATTAACATGAAAATGATCTAAAAATTCCCTACCAGCCCCACACAGCAACTTTGACAATATTTGATTGATTTTGTTTGGTAAAGAGAGAGAGAGGGAGAGTTATCAAGCATGCACTCTCAGAAAAAAGGTACAAAAGCTGTCACTGGGGCTGTACCTTTTCAAAATGTAAACTTTTGTCCATTTTAGGTGTTAATAATTGTTATTTAAGTGAAATTACTGAACTTAAATATACAAGTTTGATAAAAAATCATCATTAAAGAAGAAAATTTCAAATGGCATTTAGAGGCTTTTGCATCTGAACTCTTCATATATATTTTAGGTGCTAATATGTACATTTTAAGTGTTAATATGTACATTTTAGGTGCTAATATGTACATTTTAAGTGTTAATATGTGCATTTTAGGAGCTAATATATACATTTTAGGTCCTAATATGTCCATTTCATGAGCTAATATGTACATTTTAGGTGGTAATATGTACATTTTAGTTACTAATATGTACATTTTAGGTGTTAATACACACTCACTCAATGCAAGTTTAACGTTACGTTACCTCAGTTAAGTGGCCTGACTTCTACACCTACCTTATAGAGAAACCGATCGTAAATAGAAACTGAGGGCATATAAATCTTTAGATGCCTATATGGTCTTGTACAAGACTTGTGTGTACGATCCTCAGTTCTGCCGAGCCAGCGCCGAGACCACAACAACTTAAAGAGTGACATTACTGAGCGTTTTTACTGATGTGAATATTTTCTAGAAATAAAAATTCCAGATAAAACATATTCATTTTTCATCAATTCTTGCACCAGAAACACAACAAGATGACATTTAATAATAGTAACAATAATTTAAGCTCCTTATTATGTAGCCGAATCTGTGCTGGTTTGTATTGGCCGCCTCCAGTTTTCACTTTCATACCTGCCCTTACTTTAGCCGTGCATTTCCCAGAAAAACAGTGCACACCTGAGAACGTTCGTCAACCAATCAGAATAACGCATTCAACCGGGCTGTGATACAATTTGAACATGTGAATAACTGAAGGGGTGTGAGCTTGATCTCATGAAAGTTCGTATATATCGCACGAATGTCATTTCTTGTGCCATTTATACGGCAAAAACAGTTTTTGCGTGTGTATGGTACGCGTTTTTCACGTGCATATGATACGCACTTTTTGGCGTATAATACGCACACACTCCCCACCCCCCTCCCCCCTAAACCTACCCCAGGGTTTTTTAGTGCGTAGCATATGCACACAAAAACCATTTTTGCCGTATAAATGCCACGAGAAATGACATTCGTGGTATAGATACGCATGTTCATGAGACTGTGTTGGAAAATTCTGTCAACGTCTGTCTGTTTACTTCTTGCTACATCAACGAATGTTTACACTACAGTTCAATATCTGGGGTCAGTACCTTTTTTAAGTGATTTTTCGGCTGCATTTATTTGATCAAGTTGTGTTATAATAACTATATTATATTTTAAAATGTAACTTATTCCAATGATGGCAAAGCCTGTCACGTGATCCTTCAGAAATCATTCTAATATGATGAATGGATGCTCAAGAAACATTTCCGATTATTGTCAATGGTGAAAACAGTTGTGCTGATTAACATTTTTGTGGAAACCATTTTTTTCAGGATTCTTTGACGAATATTTGAAAAGGAAATATTTTGTAACCTTTTACAGTAAATGTCTTTACTGACACTTTGGGTCAATTTAACACATCCTTAATGAATAAAAGTAATCATTTCTGCATGGAAATACACTAACAAACGAATGAAAAATAAAATAAGGTCAATGATTATCATTTTAATCCATTTTCTTTGCCATAAAACGTCTTCTCCCTTAATGCTCATCAAAGCCATCATTGATTTCACACAGGGCTGAGGAAGAGGCCAGAGAAACTACAATTACTCGTGACCCCGCAATAACGCAGCCGATCGATTCCCCCTTTAATAGACATGTCATCATTTTTATAGAGTTGTGCTATACACACTGGGCTGGCACCATTAGACTCTTCTCCAGAAGCACACTGGGTAGGGCCACTCATTGCATCGCTCTCACAGAAGCTCAATCAATAAAACGCCCCTAATGACTCCCTCTGGCCTCATGCGCGAGGTCCCGAGAGAGGGCTGTCTAATTGCATGCCTGAAACATTCTCCTCTCCACTTCCTCTACGGTTTAGTTGTATAAACAACAGAGGGAGAGTGATACATTAAAGGTTTGATTCTGTCTCTTACGCCACGTCGGCCTCGTTCACAATACGCAAGCAGAACAAATGTATGTGTAAATCGCTCATAAATCCATTCTTACATAAACCGTCCAGTTGAACTCAATGTGAAAATTAAGGTATGAATGCTTTTGCGTATGATTTACATTCAGAAACTCTTTCTGCTTGTGTTTCATGGATAAGACTTTGTCTTTCTCCATATGAAAGAGAATTTGCACATCTGCTAAATTATGTTTGCTGCGTTTAGAAAACTGAGACAGATGTAGTCTTCATCGGAGGAGTGGGATTGTACAAACTACCACAAGAGCAGTTTAGGTTATTAATACCTGAGGGAAATTACCTTCGGGTGGATGAGAAATCAGTGTGGATTCCTCATGAGGTCAATGCAAATATCAGTGACAGTGGTCTGTGGTGGTGTATTGACTAGATATCTTCTTACATGTAATAAGGTAGATTTCATATTTGCTGAATAGAGTGAATTGACTTCAATATATTGAGGAAGGAAAACATACAGGGACCAATGGTTTTGGTTCAAATGTAAAGTGAGTCCTTTTTCACCACCAAGAAGGTTTGCTTTTAGTCCAACAGATCTGGTCGGGATGCCCAAATCAACACAAACTCCACCTTTAACCCTTAAATGCATCAATATTTCACCAATCATTATTACATATTCGGGTCTTTAGTGACCTGGATCTATTTCTAACACAGATGGAACTGCCGAAATAGTATAAAACTCCACTGATATTTTACAATTACGAAAATTTGAACTATACAAAAGAATAAAATCTTATTTTGTTAACTTCTGGAGCTTGGAAGGGTTTAGTTTGAGCAGATGATTTATGCCATCATCACTTTTCTCATCAGAGCTTATTTCCCTATACATTCGGCATCAGGCAAATATTCGCCATCCCAAAACATGTTCTCAAATCTATCGTTTTCGACGTCTTCAAAATCAACATTTTAATCAGCTTCTTCACCAGATCCACCATCAAGTGACAGTGACACTAAGACCATTTTCAGACCTGTAGATCGATTGCTTTGTTCTGAAAAAGGGACTTAGTTTGCTACAAAGTTGCGTTTTCTTCTTGTTCAGTTCACATCGATAAGGAAACATTTTAAAGCGTCCCAAAATGTTTTTCTGTAAGTCACATGTGAGTAAAGCTGTCCTCTTATAGGTCAGAGTTTCCTCTGAGTCATCCATCAAGATGACTGAACAAATTCACTCCAGAAGTGTATTGTGGCTTTATCTGTCGCTTTATCTTTACCAGGTCCTGAAACAAACGCTCCAAACAAACCAGGTGTGAAAACGTCCTGCAATTTGATTGCGTTCAGCACTTCCTCTTCAGAAAATCACTAAGTCATTTCAATCTTTGCTGATGATTCTTCCTATTCTTTTGTTTTCTGCCTGTGCAACATGACATCATGACTTTTGCGTAAACATACACGCCACTTTCGAGTCGTGTTATCTCTACGCATTTTGAGCTATCCACGTGTATCCGCGTGTATGTCTACGCCATTAACGTCCGCGTCATTCCGCGTGTCTGTACACGCCGTCAAATGTACGAGCGAAACGAAGCAAAATGTAGATCTACATCTGGGGAGCGATCTTTTTTTTCCTAGGATGTCAAGGGAACACTAATAAATGGTATTAACCCCAGTGACGGGTAGGTTTAGGCACGGGGTTGAGGTAAGTCATATATTTATACAGTAATAACGTTAAGTCAATGGCGTTCATAAACACGCTGAAAAACGATTATGCGTGTTGATACCACGCCAAAAATGGAAATACGAATTGGCGTGTCATACACACGCTACTTCATGAGATCAGTAAGTATGATTGAAACATCACTTCACTGTGTATCAGACATTGCCACCTTGAGGAATAAAAGTGAATTGCAGTCATCAGAGATTAAAATTATAGTTGCGCAGAAAAAAACTCGGGTCGCTAGAAACCCTATATAGTTTTTGCAAAACATTAATTAATAAACAAGCATTTTTTATAATTTGTCTTTTTCTTGTTATATTGTTTATAATGAATAGATTGAGGAATACTAAGAAGGTTGATGTCTAACTTTCAAAAATGAATGACGGCGAGGGAAGTAAATGGAGTTCCAGTTCGTTACAGACCCGAAGTATGCGTTATAAGTGTTAAACAAATTGTTCCATTGGGAATGTTTAGAGTAATTTGTAAAATGATGTGTCTAAGCCTAATCTTGTGTTGTCCAGGTGTCCTGACCTTCTGACAGATCTCCATGTGCTTCTTAAGACCGGGGACAGTCTTGCGGGTGACAACAGAGCAGGTGGGACAGACCACTTCCCCTCTCTCAGAGATGGTGTTCTGCCACTGGGCTTCAGCAGGGGGCACTGAGACAGAGACATTAAGATAAAACACAATTAAGATAATGATAATGTAAGCTACACTACAGTTCAATGGTTTAGGGTCATTTTTTTATTGTTTTTGAAAGTCTTTTACAGTATGTTCACAGAGACTGCATTTATTGGATAAAAATACAGTAAAAACGGTAATATTGTGAAAATGTTATTGTTTTATATTTAATGTAATTTTGCGTTAAATTAGTTATTTTGCACTGCAGAGAGAGAGAGAGAGAGAGAGAGAGACCTGAACTGATGGCAGCAGGATCTTTTCTGGTATGAGCTTGAACCGATTGCTTTCTCTGCGTCTCCTCGGTAAACAGAGTCCCTTCCGCCCGCTTCATCCGACCTGCTTTTAACTTCTCCTCCACCTTATTCATTCCTGTGCAACACATTACAAATTACATTCAGGGAATGCAGAGACCACACAAGTCACAAAAAATAACACAATAAAGACATTCTCAAACTCTCCTGGAGGTCGAAGAGCCTTGTTGTGCAGTAGTCTGTCTTGTGGTGCAATGTTTCCTGCACATGTACCATTATAACTTTAACAGGAAATGAAACGCTTCTAGAATAGACCGTATATACCCCCTATTAGCACCAACGGGGGTAATTATTATCAAAGAGTATAAGGTTGAGAATTATAAACACACAGTAGTAAAAACTACCACTAAAATATCAAGGAGTATTTATTGAATGGAGGCCTGGACAAAACTCTGAAAGTCAAAATTGACAAAAATTGACAAAAATTCACAAATGTGTAAAAAGAAGTTGCAAATGTCATGTGACCTGCAAATTGCCCGGAAGCAATCCGCAAATGCGTAAAAACAGTTTTGTGTGTCTATAACACATTATTATTGTGAATATGATTTTACACAACACAAACGTAAAAATACATGTTTTAGGTTGTGAGATAATTGTGTATATGTTTATTTACAGATCTCTGCAGTACACATTCGACAAAATGACACAAATGTGTAAAAAAAGAACTTACAAATGTAACGTGACCCACAAATTCACAGGAAGTAATTTGCAAATGTGTAAAAACAGTTTTGTGTTGTACACATCACCCTGTATTTTTGTGGATATGATTTTACACATCACAAATGTAAAAATACACATTTGCAGATAGTGAAATATTTGCGCATCATTGAACACATTTGTAGATTGTCTTCTGTGGGTTACAAATATTAAAGTCCAATTAATTCTTCCATAGGCCTTGTGGTGCAGCTCCACCTTTGGGCTCAGTGGTACCCAAGATGCAGCTCTGCTTCTAGGCTTAGTAGGTCTTGTGGTGCAGCTGCACCTTTGGGCTCAGTGGGCCTTGTGGTGCAGCTCCACCTCTGGGCTCAGTAAGTGTGTTTAGTAATACTGTTATAAAATATTAACAGATATTTTTCTTGTTGACGTTGATTGATTTGTTTGGTTTTACCTGCCATGACCGATTCAGTTTTATATTTTTATGGCTACAAAAATATGCCCTCATAAATCCCTCTCAAAATCAAATCCAGAGGGCAAATATTGGCCCTTAATAAAATGTTATTTACTGGCTATTAGGAACAGATGTGAGGATAGGAAGAGTGTGTGTGTGTGTGTGTGTGTGTGTGTTAGGTTTCCGTGGAGGTTCATGAAGGAACAAAATAATCTTTTTCATACATTGTTCTTATATCTATACAGTATTTAATGCAATTACAATTACAGTAAGTAACTGTAATTATATCACATAAATATTACAGTAATTAATTACTTAGCAATGCATTATACCCAACATTGGTCTATATTAATAATAATTAGCTTTAAGAACAACAGAATGTATTGGAGGTCCCTACCATAATACCATAATATAATTATATATATATATATCCCTACCATTAAATAAAAACGTGTTACCTTTCAAACCGAATGTTCCTGAAATAGACGGCTGTTCCCCGGTGAACTTCTTTGGAGTTTTCTGCTTCCTCCCTGGCTCAAATGGAGAACAACAACAACAAGAGGTCAAACATCTCAATTACATGGCGAAGAGCCACATTCATGGTTGCTCTATGACAAAATGCAGTGCTGAGCGTTTATGAGCAACTGTTGTGAGTTACGGTCTCATTAATGATGCTCAAACTTCAGCGCACCAAAGGCGAATGAGCACCTGCTGTTTCACATTCTCCCGTGGAGAAGCTGACACAGCTTCATGAACCAGTCATGGTATCCACGTGTTAGCATAGCCTTTGATTGTCAAGGTTTGTCGCACAAACACGGCTGCTCTAGTGCTTTTCTTGACATTTCAGGCATCTACACACACAGATGCACACACACTGTCCTCGCCTCTGGCTTTGGCATGGGACAACAAAACGAAGGGATCATGTACCCAAACAAAGGCCATAAATAGCGGACTCGCAGCATGAGCCTAATCGACGTCTCGACACACAGCGTCTCTGCCAGGCGGAGACAGAGACAGCAGCGCCACCAGGTACCAGAGAGACTTAATGACCAGCAGCCCTCGGATCTCACACAGAGCACTTAAACACCGCTGCTTAAAGGGCCAGGCCACCATTTCCTACAGATGTAGGGCATTCTGGGACGTGTTCATGATTGAACTACTTTTCTGGATGGTGGAACTTCCGGTTATGTATTACCAACATGACCTCTGTTTGCACAATCACTCAAAGGGCAAGTTGTATTGCTCAGAGTGAAACTGCATTTGCGAGGGAAATTAAAATGTCATTGCTCATACAAACGCACACATTTTCACTGCCAGCGACACAAAAAAAAATTTAATTTAAATGTGTAATTTTATATTTAAATGATTTTATATTAGACATTTTAAATTCATTGTTTTTTTTACATTTATTATTTAAAATCAATTTTTTTATTATTTTAGAAACATTATTCATTATATCATTTTTTTAATTTAAATTTAAATTCGAATTATTATACGTTTCAACAAATACACAGTATAAAGTGCTATTTTTGTAAAGAACTTAACAAATGTAACTTTTATGCCCGATTTTTTACTTGTAACAATTTAATTTAAATGTATCATTTTAAATGTATAATTCTATATTTAAAGTTCTAAATAGAAAAATTCTATATTCTATATATGCTTGTATGATGCAACCGGCCCAAAATTCTCTTACACTGGCCTTAACTAGAATTCTTATAGTTATTGGTACTGAATAATTATCACGTTCATATTTTATGGTATTATGTGCATGTGGTACTCCAAAGAATATCATGACATTCCCATGTCCAAGGACAGGTGTTTGGGGAGCTTTCATGCACAGCAGGAATCTTAGTGTGTAGCAATCTTACTGTGCTTCATTCTCTCGGGGTCCTCCTCAGGGAAGGGTGGGGGCAGACTGTCCTCCTCGCTCTCACTGTACCCTGTATCTAAAGACGTCCCCTGCTGCTGGGAGCTGTGCCGCTGTCTCCTGTCCGGCCTCTGGGGGGCGCATTCCCCATTCTGTAAGAGCTGCGACACCTCCTGGGTCTTCTTCACCTTGAAAAATAAGGGTGATGGAGGGCTGTTCTCCATGGGCCTGGGAGGGAGCACAGGGAACACAGGCTATTAAAGTCAATCCGCAGAGGACTGGTACCATAGTAACACGCAAGGACTTCATCTGGAGCTTAATGACGGCAGTGTGGAAAACAAGTCATGCCCTGAAGCCAGTTTTGCCGTGTCAAATGTTTAAAAAAGCTCATTCAAATTTGCTGCAGATATGAATTACGCGCAATTAAAAGTTGAAAAATGGAAAAGGGTATTGAGCTTGCTGACCTTTTTTTGGCATTTCCCTTCACAGGGCTTTTCTGCTGTTTGGGTTCGGACTTGGGATCGGATCTGGTCTCCAGTGTGACTCTTTCTGGATGATTCCACAGCTTGTGCTTCTGAAGACGCACCTTGGTGGCAAATACAGCCTCACAGTATGGGCATCTGTGACTCAGCTTCTCTGCTATGGTCGCCTGAACGAGAGAGAGAGGGACACACACACACACACACACAAACACACAAAGAGTAAGTTCAAGTGCTGTAGGTCTCGGATTCAAGTTAACATGACAGTGAGTCTTTCCAAAGTTTCTAAAGTTACTAAAGTAGATATTGGTCAAGATGATTGACTATAAGTTAACCTGTCATTGACAAGTGAGGTCAAGTGTTTTTTACATGAATTATATTATGTTATAATTGTATATACACCGTATATTATATACATATATAATTATATGTTTGTATTATATTTATATATTTTTTACTTTTATTCGGCAGAGATGCATTGAATTGATCCAAAGTGTCAGTAAATACATACACGATGTTACAAAAGATTTCTATTGCAAATAAATGCTGTTCTTTTGAACTTTCTATTCTTTAAATAACCCTGTTAAATATATAGTGATATACTATATACTAGTAATATATATTAATATATATATATATATATATATATATATATCAGTTTTCACAAAAATATTAACCCTAACTCACTTCTCAACCAAACAGTTGAGCACATTTTGAGTCACTATATTTTATTGAGAGGAGTACCTAACTTAACTGTCAATCAACAGCACTTGTCACAACACTTCTTCTTACATGGATGTCAGAAACAAATAAATCACCCCAGCCATGTGAACTGTTTTTGGTGAAATTTTGGAAGCATATTTTTTTACATATTACACTGTAAGAGGCTTAACTTTATAAAATGATGTTACTTGGTGCTATGAAAAAACTAATAATTTTTCAAAAACGGTTGATTTGGCACATTACTGTTAACGTCACCCCCCTTTTTGAGAATGGAAATTACAATGCACTATTAAAACTTGGTTGTAATTCAAGTATGCTTTGGAATAAAGACCTAAGTTTAGTCTTGTTTTAAAGAAAACAATCAGCAGATTATTGCTGAACAGGGCCTGAAATTAACACCCGACCACCTGCCAAATGCGGGTGAATTTTGCTATTGGCGGGTAACACTGTCAATCTACCTGCCACATTGGCAGGTAGCCAATGAGAATTGTGAGTGATTCATTACGATTTTTACATTTCAACAAAGTCCGCTATTGCGTTGGACTTTAGCTAAAATGTGGCGGCACATTACTGGGGTAAAGAGGCCAGCTGAAACAAACAGCCAATAAAAAGATGATGAGGAAAAGAAAAGTAAAGAAGACATTTTAATACAAAGTGAACAATCGGCGGCAATGGCAAGGTTCGTGAGCGGCTGATTTATGACAGCGACTGTTGTTTCGCAACGTTCATGCGATCAGAAAGAAGATGAGACCCTTTTTCTGACTACGTTTGGATGTGCGAGTATTAAACTGTTGGTGAGATGGGATGAGATAATGTAACGCTGACGTATGTTACAGTACAATGACAGTTGCACAGATGTGTGTGCGTGTGCAACTGTGCATATTAGGAGTTGGGAACCGGTGAGAAAATGTCCGGTACCCGGTAATTTTACCAGTAATAACAGTATTAATTTAGTTAATATTTAACGGTTCCTGAACGCTATAACTAAAAGCTGTTAAGAGTAAGACCTGTCTACGTGAATAAATCCGCCATCAACACAGCCGCGTGTGATTTGTTTACGAGCTGCGGTAGGTCTATCTGTTGAGTATATACTATATTATAGCTAGCCTGTTGTGTTTGTGTCTGTCAAAATCAATGAATAAAAAGATTTTTTTTTTAAATGTATGTTGTTAGAGTTATTATTACTTGACAGCACTTTAAAGAAGTTAAAGAAGTTAAGCAAGTTAAAGAACAATATCGTGAAATTCCCGGTTTTTACGTTTATGAGGCAAAAAAAAAAAAAAAAAAATGGCTGGTAAAAAGTCTCTGTGGCAGGTGAATTTTTAAATCCACCTGCCACAGTGGCCGGTGGCCGAAAAAGTTAACTTCAGGCCCTGTTGCTGAAGTAAAAGCACTTGAAAATAAAAGTATGAAAAATTTACGGAAGTTTTAAATTTACATTAAATCAAATATACTGTACTAAATATTTTTTCTTTTATGTAAAATATATATTTTACAAAACATTTTTTCTATAAAATTACTATAAAATGAAAGCTATATTTCTAACCAAGTTGTGTTCCAAATTTGAAGTTGATATCACAAAAATTGAAGTTCTCATGAGATTTTGTTTAGGTGTAATACCAAAAATGACATAAATTCCATTGAATTTAATTGTATGCATTCTGCTCTAACAAATTAATACATTTCTGTCCAAATATCACTTCTGTTACAATATATGGAACCTTGAGACTAAGACCTTTCTGACAATGTGTTTTGTCAAGACTAGAAAAGGTTTTGATCATAAATTATGATGGGCAATAAAAAAGTATGAATTCCGGTACAATTTATTACCATTTAGTGACATCTCAACCATTTGGTAGAGGGTGATATTTAAAAAAATATGGGATGTGTTGAAAAAAAATACATTGAGTGTGGTTACTAGTGACAAAAAGATAAGAAATGCAAACAAAAAAAAATTCCATCATTTTTTTCTTGCAGCACAATTGATTTTTAACCATAATGTTGTTAATAACAGTAAATGTCTCTTGAGCATCAAATGTGACACTGAAGACTGGAGTAATAATGCTGGAAATTCAGCTTTGCATCAGGAATAAGTTACATTTTAAATTATGTTCAAATATCAACCAGTTATTTTAAATTAAATTATTAAATGTATTTAATAATATTACCGTTTTTACTCTATTTTCGAGCATATAAATGGACAGCACAATAATCTTACAGACCATAATCTTTAAAGACACCTCAAAGTGTTTTTGAAACCCTCAAATAAGCTGTATCTCTAAATTCATCAAATTTGCCAACTTCAAAACAATTACCTTTACCTAAAACAAGCGTAATATATACTATATATATATATATATATAAAACTGTGTAGTGTGTAGTTTGGATTTTAGTTCTTACCCCTTGGCATCGCTGATAGTGATATTTAAGTCCATAAATACTGGGGAATTCCAACCAGCAGCCTGAGCTTGGACATTTCACCCTGGAACGACTCTTAAACTCCTCTTTCCACTGAACCATCATATGGGCCTACGTCCGAGAAACACACACAAGAAACTATTAGCAATCAATTCACATACACACAGCCCTCTGTGAGATGTTCTTCCTCCAAATACAACAGTTGGATATAGTTAGGAAAGTCCCTTTACTCTGTTCACAAATGACACAATAAAACCACCCAAAATCCCAATCTGGCGTAGCTTCATTCCTTCATCAACGGCCAAAGGGGATATTTTACAGCTTTACTCACAGGAATAATGCGCAGCTCCTGCACTTCCACGCGAGGACGCCCTTTCTTCTTGCTCTCTGATTTCTCAATGTAGGAGGAACCTGAGAAAATGTCAACATGAAAGAACATTCCTGTTTAACATGTCATTTGCATGTGATTTCATATCATATTGTATGGACATATTGTGATAAATTGTAACAATAGTGTATGATTTTATCCATATCCATAACTTTTTTCCCACATCTGTCATTATATGCCATTGTTACTTGCTGTTAAAGGAGTAGTTCACTTTAAAAAAAAAAAAAATTTTTGCTGATAATTTACTCACCGCCATATCATCCAAGATGTCCATGTCTTTCTTTCTTCAGTCCAAAAGAAATTAAGATTTTTCATGAAAACATTCCAGCATTTTTCTCCATATAATGGACTTCATTGGGAACCAAACGGTTCAGGGTCTAATAGACAGTTTCATTGCAAACTGCAAACTGTTCAAAGGGCTTTGAACGATTCCAGAAGATGAATAAGGGTCTTATCAAGCGAAACAATCGCTCATTTTAAAAAAAATATAACAAAGTTTAAGTTTTATAAGCACACCTGTTCGAACTTGCTTATCATTCCGAGTCATTTGGTTCATTCAACGAACGAAATGAACGAATTGACTCGGATAAAGATTCGTTCATTTTGAACGAGAACAGAGCAAGACGAGTGTTTGTGCTTATAAAACTTAAACTTTGTAATATTTTCTTTAAATGAGCGATCGTTTCGCTTGATAAGACCCTTATTCATCGTCTGGAATCGTTTAAAGCCCTTTGAACAGTTTGCAGTTTGCACTGAAACCGTCTTTTGGACCTTGAACCGTTTGGTTCCCAGTAAAGTGAATTAAATGGAGAAAAATCCTGGAATTTTTTCATCAAAAACTTTAATTTCTTTTCGACTGAAGAAAGAAAGACATGGACACCTTGGATGACACGGGGGTGAGTAAATTATCAGCAAACGTTTGAACTACTCTGAACATTAACCATCATTAAATTACTTTTGTCAAGATTTTAGAAACACTGCATTTCTACAACAGCCATCGAATACAATTCCTATAACCGCCCATGGAGAAAATAATGGAAAGGAAAGATATTAAACAATTATAAACCTGTTTTTCTTTTAAATATCATGCACTGAATAATAAGACCAGGAAAGTGAATGAGCAAGTCAATGATTTCATGGTGTTTTCTATGGAATTCCAGTCTTATCCTCGCCTCCTTAAAACACCTTGATTTTATCACAGAAAAACCATTAACCTTACTTCAGATTAATGATTGGCTTAGAAACTCCCTTCAACACCTGTCAACATGGCAGCTCTCCATATGTTCCAGACGTTAGTGAGGCTGAACGAACATTTAGAGACAGTCCATTGCAGATGCATTGTGCGTACAAATTAGTGCCATTGCTTATTTAATGAAAGTCCCAGGGAACAGAAGATGATAGCATGTTTGTTGGCTTTCTGGTTGGTGGAGGTCACAGAAGGTTGCCGTAAATCCATACTAACGGTGGCAAGGTCAAAACATTGAGCAAACGGCAGATAATTACACACTAATTCTCCATAGAGACCCGCTGGCTTATGGCTGCTAAGCAACTATATAATAAGGACACTTACAAAGTGGCTTCAGAAAAATTGTCTGCAGTGTGTGTGTGTGTGTGTGTGTGCGTGTGTAAATGAGAGTGATAAAGGCCTTTCACAGACTAGAGTAAATCAGACATTAATCAACCACTTCTTTGACATGCCACTAGGAGGACACACTCCTTGTGTTAAAGGGATAGGTCACCTAAAAAGGAAAATTCTCTCATTCACTCATATCAGAACCCATTTTTATTTTTTTAGTTTCACACTTGACAGATCAAGCTTCAAATCAAGACGTTTATCAAGTTAAACACACACACACACCGTCAAAGCTAGTGGTAGGTAGCCCATATAACTCATGACTCTATATTCCACAATGCGAAGTGCAATATGACGATATTATAATGTGATTGATTAAACTGTGTCTGCCTTTACAGAGAGATTTTTAATATCCTTCTATTCAATGTTTTTTGATTATTATCATTTCTGAACATCATCTTTTTCGTGGTTACGTTCATGTGACAATGCAGTTATTTGCCATTCTGAAAGTTTATTATTTGGATGCGATCTAAAGCCTTGCCAGTATAAACGTTCACTTTTACTCGCACGCTGTACATATTTACACTGTACCAAAGCGCGGCCACAGAAAGACAGCTGACACCAGGGTTTGACATTAACTTTTGCTCACCAGCCATAGTTGCTAGTGGTTTTTAAGAGTAACTTGCCACTCAGTATTTTCACTGGCCACAATTTTGACATCAATTCCATGGGGAAAAAACTGCCACATATATATATATATATATATATATATATATATATATATATATATATTAGTGCTGTCAAACGATTAATTTATTTAATCGCGATTAATCACATTAATGTCATAGTTAACTCGCGATTAATCGCAATTAATCACACATCTTTATTTATTTTAAATGTCACTTGATTTATTTTTGTCCCATTTTTTTCTCATTTTAATGCTCTTATCAACATGGAAAAGTGTATCGGCTTGTTTTGTGCAAATGTTTTGTATTGAAAACAACATTGCCATATACTGGCCCTCATTTATCATTCTTGCGTAGAAACGGGTGTATATGTTGGTGTAAGATTATGCTTACACTCCTCTCACCGCCTGATTTATGAAGTTGTGCGTACTTTTGAAATCCAGGTGTACGCAATGCCTGCCCTTGATAAATCCCGCGGCCGAAAATTAGAATAACACGCCCCTAAATATTCAAGTCTCCGCTCCCCCCACGCCCCCATTTTATGCCATGGACACACGGAAGACGGCAAAGAAGAGAAACTTCTCTGACGTGATGCCGAAATGATCCATCACAATGCATTATTTTACAACAAGTCTTTTGAATTAGCATTCAATTTAGAATCACTTCACATGTATTGGGGTGTACAATAGTGATGATGATGATGATGTGATGTGGAGTACCATTCATTCACATTAATAATTGGATGACAATTTGCAATATTCTTATTATTATTATTATGATTTGTATTATTAATGGCGCTTGTTATTTAGAAGAAGAATGTCGTTATTATTTTTATATTATAATTATATGTAAAAGAAGAGGAATGTATTTTTTATTATTTTGTCAGTCTGAATTATTTTTTGGTCATTGAAAGCCTTTCATTATCGAACCCAGTCCGTGCGCACCTGCCGGGGCTTATCCTGAAACGGCAGAGTAAAGTCCACAGGCTCGCAACTGAAGGAATGCTTACTAATCAAATGCCTTGGTAAAGTCTCACAAATTAAACATTGAAGTCCATGTTGCACAAAAATAAATACTGAAATTTATAATTACTATGTTGTTGTTTTTTTACACTGGGTTATAATATATCATATATTTTAGTTTGCCAGGGCATTTTGTGGTGTTTTTTGCGCATTTGCGCACTAACTCAAAACGTGCGTACACCACCTCCTGAGCTGGTGTGGGATTTGAGTGTGCCGCACGCCAACGTCCATATTGATAAATCTCAAAGTCACCGTGGTTTTGGGTGTACGCTGGAAATTTGGTGTACACACTTTTGATAAATGAGGGCCACTATGTTCAATTTCACACTCACGTTCTCACTTGAACAAATAATCTCTTAATGTAACACTGTCCATCAATAAAAGGGTGAAAGAAAAACTGACGAGGTCCTGATATTGACGAGGGGGTGGAGAATTCACATCAGCTGTGTGTGTGTGTGTGTGTGCTTGGCCATCATCAAGTGGTTTTTCAGACTGGACGTGCTACGATGATGATCGCTCGGTTCACAAAGACAAAACTCACAGATCACTTTGGTCTCGTCAATGGAACCATTTGGCAACTAAAAAGTTTTAAAAGTAAACTTTCCATTCAGAATCTTATTGGCATCCATTTCGCCGTCTCGCGCTCGTCATCCATTCAAAACGTATATATATACATATATATATATATCTGCTATTAATTCTACTCTGTTAAATTAGAATTCTATATCATGTTTGGTAACGCTATTCAATTTTAGGAATACAACCCTGTAAATGATAGTTTGGGAGAACCACACACACACACACACACACACAGTTTTCTGCTATATTTTCTCTCCCTCTCTCTCTCTGGGTGTATGGAGGGCAGGCTCTTTCACTTGCACACACCTCTCGTTCACAATTATCCATGTCCTCCATCACGGCTGCCCAGCGATTCTCCGCAGAAGTGTGTGGGAGGGGTACAGAGCGCTAGGAGAGTGAAGAGGAGGGGGAGAAAGGGCGGGTCTGAGACCAGACAACGTGCTAATTAACTGTCACGAGTCCTGCTATCTGCCCCTTTTCACATCTGAGGTGTAGAAGCGGCTGATTTGCTCTTTTCTCTTCTCCTAACAGATGACCCTGTTAACCAGGGTAGCTACAGGGGGGCTGAGGCTGTTGACCGAGGCTACAACATCAAATCTTATAAATGTCCCTGATCTTCTTCTTCAGAATAAAATGACTTAAACTTGTATATGTATTTTCCATGATATGCCAAAACATTATGACCAGTCGAAGGTAAAATCTCCTATAATAGTTGTTCATCTCCTAACACGGCCACATATTAAGGTATGGGTAGATTAGATGGTAAGCAAACAATTAGTTATTGTAATCAACAGATGCAGGAGAAATGGGCAGGAATAAAGATCTGAGAGACTTTGACAAAGGGCCGAATTGTTATATATAATATAATATATAATATATATAATAGCTTATACTAGCCGAGACTCTTCTTTATGTGTACAGATGTGACGTAATGACTCAATATAGCCGACTAGCTAATACTCTTCTTTTTGTGTACAGATGTGACGTAATTACTTAATATAGCCGACTAGCCGAGACTCTTCTTTATGTGTACAGATGTGACGTAATTGCTCAATATAGCCGACTAGCCGAGACTCTTCTTTTTGTGTACAGATGTGACGTAATGACTCAATATAGCCGACTAGCCGAGACTCTTCTTTTTGTGTACAGATGTGACGTAATGA